AAGAAATTGGAAAATTATGGTATGAGATATTACCGCGTGACTGTTTGCGAAGAAAGAGGATTTGTGGTTTTCCTCGGCGACTCCAACACACGTGAAGGTTAACTGAGGGGAAGAGGAAGAGGGAGAGAGGGAGAAAGAGAGAGGGGAGAGGGAGAGGGGAGGGGGAAAGACAGCAAGAGGGGAGGAAGATTGTGTGTGTGTGTGTGTGTGTGTGTGTGTGTGTGCGTGTGTGTGTGTGTGTGTGTGTGTGTGTGTGTGTGTGTGTGAGAGAGAGAGAGAGAGAGAGAGAGAGAGAGAGAGAGAGAGAGAGAGAGAGAGAGAGAGAGAGAGAGAGAGAGAGAGGGGGGGTGAGGAAGAGGAAAGGGAGCAAAAGGGAAGGGAGAGAGAGAGAGAGAGAGAGAAGAAGAAGAAGAAGAAGAAGAAGAAGAAGAAGTTATGCTTCATAATAATCTAAAACATGGTTTTCCCACTTAATGCAATTTTATGTGTATTTTTTCTGCAATCTTTAACGAGGGATTAGGAAACAATCGCCGCTTCAATCTTTGCCACTCTAATAAAAGAATTTAAAAAACTATGAAATAATAATTACCAAATACCTAATTGATTACTAAAAATGGTGTTTTGACATAAAATCATACATGTTTTCTCTAATATAATTTGCATAAAAGTAGGGATAGTTCTCATGGTATTTATTTTAAAATTTTAACAAGTATGGAACTCAGGTGGAGTACGAACGCAAAACATTTCACTATCGGCGCGAAATTAAAAAAAATAGGGCATAAAAAACATCTATAAGAACAGGAAACCGAAAAGGATAAAAGTTTGATATTACCAGACATCTATAGCAGGAATATTCACATATTTTCACACATTTCGGTCTTTCTTGTCAAACCACCATCTAACCTATAATTGTTTTGCTTCCCTTTTTTCTTTGCCATTTTAAGGACAATAAAACAACGCGTTAAGGAAAAAAACAAATGACTTATAAATAGCTCGTGTTGCTTCCCTGCAGAGCACCATGATCGCAATGTTTACATATCGTGGGGTAGTGTGAAATAAGGTCTATGTAAGTATGTTAGTATATGTATAAGTATATATGTATGTACTTATTTAGACCTTAGTGTGAACAGTCAATAGTATCCCGTGACGAGGTAGTGTGACCGCGACTGTAAATCCTTTCTTTCTGCTTTCTTCAGATTCGTTGATAACCCAGGTGCTGAGGGAGGAATAGGCCTATATGAGACGAACGAATTCATGAGGACAATGAATGTTTTAGGATACCGGTTTGGGGTTTCTTTTCATGGCTGGAGTTTTTGTTTTTTTCAGAGGATGAGGACAAATTACGGGGAAAGAAGATCGAAGTGTTCATGTGGTCTTTTTTTTTTGCGGTTTTGTTTTGTTGGTGGTCCTTTTAGTGACCCACTATTGACCTCTTTACCCAAGAGTTACGAGTGAGGACCACGGGGTACTTTCTGAAAAAAATTGACGTCGAATAAAACTGAACTTTAACTCAACTACTGTACCTACATATGATCATCGGTCACACATCAATAAATTGGAATCACTAACTTTTTGTAATACGGTCGCATAACGAATCGCGACGATTTCGGTAAAGTTGGATTCCTCTCACAGTCTACCTTGCAAATATGTAGGTTTTATTGCGCGGAAGCCCCCCAACCCCCACATTCTTGGCCCCGATAGCAGGGGAGGGCATGAAAGGTACCAGGAATATGCGGGGTAAAATGTAAATATTACTCACAGAATCAGTCACTACATTGTTTAATGCCTGCGATCCCCTCCTTGGGGGTTGCCGCTCCCAACCCCCGCCCACGAAAACGAAGAACCCTCTACTTATTCACTGCGGGAGAGGGCTTCGGACAGGCTTGGCACCGCCGCTTCCGCATAGTGGTCGTACGCCCTCTCCTGCCGGGAACTCGTGGAGGTTTCTCTATTTTCCTGGAAGGGGGTTGACTGATTCTGTGTATAATATTCTTATTTTACCCCCCAATATCTCTGGTACCTATCACGCCCTCTCCTATCTGGGCCAAGAACGTGGGGGTTTGGAGGGTTTCCGCGCAATAACTTATATATATTTGGAAACTAGACAGGGAGAGGAATCCAACATAACAAAAGCATTACGATCCGTTATGCGGACGTACTACAAAAAAAAAAAAAAAAAAAATACGTCGGAATCTTTCAACTGGGTGTTCATGAAACCTTTACATTATTCAGGAATAGTATTAAGTGAGTGGGAACAGATGAGTCATTGAACGGGACCAGGGTGATTATCATATACTGGTCGGGGGCCATAGAATGAAAAAAGATTGGGGAACCACTAGGCTAAGGCATCCGTGTCTTTTATAGAAGTTGATTAGGTGTTGATATATTCATATTATTTGTTACTACTGCTGTTGCTCTGGATGGAAGAATTTCCTTACGTCTGTTATCTGTTACTGGTAGAGTTTGCCTTCTGTTTTTAATTATCCGATATGTGTAGTTAGGCCTGAAATAAAGTTCGTTTTCTTAATCTTTTAGTGTGGGTTGTGATTTTCATTTTAAGGTAAACTTAGTTAAATATAGAAATAATTGTAAACTAATTCTCGGATTAACCTTAAATGATTCATTATCGTGGTAATCATCACTGTATTACTAAATGAAAATTACTGTTATTCAGATGAAAAGGTCAGGATTTCCATTAATATGCATGCAAATACGATATCGATAGATATGTAATATAAACTATAGAAATACTATTAATATAATTATGCCTTTATTTGGTGTTTTAAATGTGTTTATCTGTATAGAGTATGAAAAACCTTAAAAGGTTATATAATCTAATTTATTTGCATAATATGAACAAAGCTCATGTGCATTTTAGATGTGTTTGCAAAATAGTGATAAGCACGTAGGCCATAGGCAGCTATAAGATTATAGAGGGAATTTATGACTTGATTTGCCGTGTACAGTGTCATCCTTTACTCTAGGTCGAAGGTCAGTGTCTTGTATAAATCCTAAATCTAAAGGATGTGGTCAAGATATTGTGAAGAGGCATTTGACAAATTCTGTCAAAGTTTGTATTGCACCATGTCTTCAGTATAAATTCCCCGTTTATATGTATTGTTCTTTTTTGTTGTAAAGGGATATGATGATTATGCCATTTTTACGTGTTTACACTTTTCACAGCAATGGCATATTCAATGGGGATTGCTGTGACAAGGAAAAATAATTTGAAATCAATTTTTGGATTGTCCCAGCATGGCAATTATTGAAGTCTCCCATGTTGATATTTGAGAGAGACACACAAGCGCGGACAAGAACACGATACGGACAGGCACAGACACAGACAGAAAAAAAGGGGAAGACAGAGATTAGTTAGATACAGACAAAGACAGAGTCAAAGAATTACAGAATTAGGGACAGCCAGAAATAGGGACATACAAAGACAAAGGGAGATGGGGATAGAAAGAGATAGAGACAGACAAATAGAGACTGACAGATATAGACATAACAGAGATATAGACGGGTAGAAATAGAGACATATAGAGACAGAGACAGTCAGAGATAGGGACAGGCATAAATAGGGACAGACATAAATAGGGACAGACATAATAGGGACAGACATGGGGACAGACATAAATAGGGACAGACAGAAATAGAGACAGACCAAGATAGGGACAGGCAGAGATAAGGACAGACAGAGATAGGCAAGGCAGAGATGGGGGCAAGCAGAGATAGGAACAGGGAGATATAGGGACAGACGGAGATAGGGACAGGCAGAGATAGGGACAGACAGATAGGGACAAACAGAGACAAGGAGAGAGAGGGACAGAAAGAAATAAAGAAAAAGACAAAACAAAGATAGGGACAGACAGATAGAGACAGGCAAAGATAAAGACAGACATAGATAGGGGCAGACAGAAAGATGAACAAACAGATATAGAAATGGACAGAAATAGGACCAGAGAGAGAGAGAGAGAGAGAGAGAGAGAGAGAGAGAGAGAGAGAGAGAGAGAGAGAGAGAGAGAGAGAGAGAGAGAGAGAGAGAGAGAGAGAGAGAGAGAGAGAGAAAGAGAAAGAGAGAGAAAGAAAGAAAGAACGAGAGAATGAGGGAGTGAGAGGAGGGAGAGAGAGAGAGAGAGAGAGAGAGAGAGAGAGAGAGAGAGAGAGAGAGAGAGAGAGAGAGAGAGAGAGAGAGAGAAGAGGAGGAGAGGAGAGGAGAGGGGGGGACATACAGACAGAGATAGGACAGGGCAGAGAGAGAGAGAGTGGGACAGAGAGTAGGAGACAGGAGACAGACAGAGAGATAGGGATAGACAAAGATAAGAGATAAGGACAGACAGAGATAGGGACTGACAGAGACATACCGAGACAAGGAGAGAGAGGTACAGAAATAAATAAAGAAAAAGACAAAACAAAGATAGGGACAGGCAAAAATAAAGACAGACATAAATAGGGACAGACATAGAGGTGAACAAACAGATATAGAAATGAACAGAAATAGGGACAGTCAGAGAAACGGACAGACAGAAATAGAGACAGAGAGAGAGGGACAGCAGAAGAGAGGACAGACAGGAGATACGGATAGACAGAGATAGGACAGGCAGACGCGATAGACAGAGATAGGGCAGGCAAGAGATAAGGGACAGAGATAGGACAGAGAGGAGAGAGACAGAGAAAGAGAGGGACAAAGATTAAGGACACACAAAGAGAGAGAGAGAGAAGGGGGGGGAAGGGGACATACATACAGACAGAGAGGGACAGACAGAGAGAGAGAGAGAGGGACAGACAGAGAGAGAGAGAGGGGGAGACAGAGAGAAAGGGACAGACAGAGGGAGAGGGACAGACAGAAAAAGAGACAGATAGAATGAGAGACAGAAAGAGATACAAATAAACTGACTGACAGGCACAGAGAGAAAAATAGAAAAAGGAGAACTGACTAATTAATGATGTTGGTGCACACAGCAAACAGACATCTATGTCTCCTTTCCTTTCCAAAACAG